CTTTACATGGCGATTCTCCTAGTGTTAATTAGATTTTCCTAACACGATCATAAGCGTCTCATTTGGGGGGGGGGGGGCTACGGATATATGCCCTAAAAATCTGTAACACGTATTCATTAACACCCGATATACATTTATTTATTAAATGGTGTTTTTCACTGGAATATCTAGTGCTTTCTGAGTGTATTCTCGATAAATAGGGACACAAATACACCCATAACATACAGCCACTGCAAGTGAAAAACACTATAAGATTATTTGATAATAAATCATTTTATTAATTATCAAAATGTTATTAAAATTGCCAATAGGAATTACTCCGTTCTCAGTATATACTTTTAAATAAAAGCCACATAAATTATAAGAATTTTAACATCCCATAGCCCCCTGGACCTCCCTCTGGATACGCTCTTGATAAATGTTTATAAATTAATTTAGCACAAAATTATTAGGTATTCCAAGGACCTGTCAAAGTGCTGCCTGTAAATAATGACAAGTTATGATATGGCAACCCTGTAAGCCTGTTGTGTTTGACATATTGTTATAAGGATTGCTTAAAGCGGGCCATATTGCCTTGTAAGTACCCATTAAGGCCCAACTCAACTTTTTTCTTAGTTTAGAAAACGATTTTTTATTCTAAGTAATACAAGAGGTCACTTTAAATTTCTATCTCTTCAATAATACATTTTTAAATCTTAACACAAGTTTCCTGAAATAATTAGGGCAGAAATAAAAGAGTGTATTGTGTATTTTAGCTTTTAAATACTATAAAAAATAGTGGAAAGTCTATAGCTTTTAAATATTTGTTAAATATCACTTATTAAAATATTATTTATTAAAAGTAAAAGAAACTATAGACTTTCCACCATTCTTTAGTGTACTCTGAACCCATTTTTAAAAAATATTTCTAAAAATATTATCTTTTAGAGCTGTATTTTTGTAATAAAAAAGTCGCCGTCACTTGTCATTGACAATGCGATGAACGTGGACTTAAATTAAAAGATGTAGCAGTGGAGAAGCATCCATTGATGCGGATGATCCCTTCAAAATATTGTCAGCTAATATATTTTTATTCGAAATAAAATCAATAAGATTTCTTATAATAAAATGAAACTCTCAGTAAATGTATTCAAACATTTAAATTCAATTTCAATATTTATATTGTATTTGTCGAGCTTTGTAGAATACGCTACTATACTAGAAATATAAATATTTCGACGCGAGATGCGATGTCTTTTATTACATCTGAACGCCTAGTGGGGCGAGCCGAGGTCGGCGACCTTTCTGGTCGTTATTTCTCATTTCAAGCCGCTATTTTCGCTGGTGAGTGATGCGATCTCTTAAGCGCATCTTGTTCGTCGTTTATTAATATAAATAATTGCATTATTTCTGATACCACAATATCTTTTAACAACCTATAATTACACATATCACAAATATTTGCCTCACCGATTGCATTTTTCCGCAATCTTGGAAGTTATCAAAAGAATTTCTTGGGCAAACCAAAGAAGAAGAAGAAGAAGAGAAGAAGAAGAAGAAGAAGAAGAAGAAGAAGAAGAAGAAGAAGAAGAAGAAGAGAGAAGAAGAAGAAGAAGAAGAAGAAGAAGAAGAAGAAGAAGAAGAAGAAGAAGAAGAAGAAGAAGAAGAAGAAAGAAGAAGAAGAAGAAGAAGAAGAAGAAGAAGAAGAAGAAGAAGAAGAAGAAGAAGAAGAAGAAGAAGAGAAGAAGAAGAAGAAGAAGAAGAGAGAAGAAAAGAAGAAGAAGAAGAAGACAGAAGAAGAAGAAGAAAAGAAGAAGAAGAAGAAGAAGAAGAAGAAGAAGAAGAAGAAGAAGAAGAAGAAGAAGAAGAAGACGAAGAAGGAAGAAGAAGAAGAAGAAGAAGAAGAAGAAGAAGAAGAAGAAAGAAGAAGAAAGAAGAAAGAAGAAGAAGAAGAAGAAGAAGAAGAAGAAGAAGAAGAAGAGAAGAAGAAGAAGAAGAAGAAGAAGAAAGAGAAGAAGAAGAAGAAGAAGAAGAAGAAGAAGAAGAAGAAGAAGAAGAAGAAGAAGAAGAAGAAGAAGAAGAAGAAGAAGAAGAAGAAGAAGAAGAAGAAGAAGAAGAAGAAGAAGAAGAAGAAGAAGAAGAAGAAGAAGAAGAGAATAAGAAGAAGAAGAAGAAGAAGAAGAAGAAGAAGAAGAAGAAGAAGAACATAACGATTTGCGTCCCATCTCTATCCTGCCAGTGTTATCCAAGTAATTAAAAAAATCATGGAATTTCAATTACATATTCACTTAGAAAATCATCGAAATACTTCCACTGCGACAGTCAGGTTTTCGTTCTGGCTATAGTTGTACTACAGCTCTACATATTGTCACTGATGATCTCTTCGGAGACATTGATGCTAAAAAAAAAACAGTAGCACTTGTTATGCTCGATTATTCCAAAGCATTTAATACTATTAATCATACAATTTTACTCTCAATATTACATTTTATTGGTTGCTTCAATGATGTTATTAGACTATTTAATCTCTACCGTAATAACATGAAGCAATTTGTAGTTACTGATGCAGGTTCATCAAATACTAAGCAGATATCATGTGGAGTTCCTCAGGGATCAAAACTTGGGAATAGCATTAAGAATGGTAAGCCATTCTTTTATGCAAATGATACTCAAATTAAATTTTATTTTGATAATTATAATGCTTTAAAAGCAACTAATCATATTAATGAAGATCTTGACAGACTAGTTAGACTTTTCAAATATTCATCAACTCAATATTAATTCTTCTAAAAGTGTGGTAATGTTATTTGGTAAATACCGGCATCAACTACAGAATGAAATGCAGATTCTATTTGATGGGAATATATTATAATTTTCCTCATCTGCTCGCAACTTAGGTTAGTAATTGATATAATGACTTGAGGTTTAAACTTCACGTTAACAAGTTGCATTCAAACAATTTAAAAATATTTTACCCACATCGACATATTCTTCCAACTTCAACAAAAATATTATTAACAGATTCCCTGGTAATTTTAACTTTTGTGATAGTGTATAGCGCCGACTTAACTAGAATTCAGGAGAGTACAGAAATCTTCCCAGACAACACACCAAATCCCAAAGATATCCACAGAATATCTTTTGTGGATATCCAATATATCCACAGGATATCAGAAATATTCCGTGGATCTAATATGGATATCCAAATGTCCGTCTATATCCAGAATATAGAAGATATCCTATGGATATTAAGCAAAATATCTAATATCCACCATAGACTGGACATTCAGTGGATATTGGGATGTTCAGTAGATATCCAAAGGATTTGGTGTGCTGTCTGGGATTGTTTAAGATTTTCATATGGAATACGGGAATTCGACAAAGTCTCACATAAACTCCAGAATTCAAACTGGCTAGATATGAAATCCAGAGTCTTACACTCGGCAAAACAGTTTCATTCTATTATTTTAAAGGAAATCTCCTCCATATCTTTTAATAAAATAAGGTATCGTTCTGATGTTCTAATCTAAATCTACGTTTTTGTGGTCGTATCTCACCTTCAATACATAATACTGCCATTTTTAGAAGGTTTTTCATCTATAACATTTGCGCTTTGTACAATTATATCCCAGAACGTTTTAAAGAAATGGCTGTAAAAATTTCCCTTTCATTTTTTTCACTCTTTTTTTAATATTTTGATTATTTTTTAATCTGCCACACTTTTTGTATACTTTATTTGTAAATCCAAAATTAAAGACTAACAAAAAAAAGACTGTTTTTATAAATTGTTACATTCCCTTGTATTGACGCCACGCTACACCACTGTATTGTAGTTGAATGCAACAAGTGTTAAATTTAATTTTGGTGTTCCCTTTTAGTGCATTTCGATACGCCCATGTGAGTGCCAGTCTGACAACTATCACCCTCTTATGTGACTTGATTTTGTTGATCGGCTTTGCGCTTACAGTTTAATCAGTTTAGTGCCATTAAGCAGTATCGATTTAGCAAAAATGTATTTTAAATCTACTTTTCAGCCTTTGAATATAGTAGGACAAAAATTATTACCTACATTTCTACTTCAATATGCATAAATCTTTATTTCGAAAAACATGGGTGATCAATCTATATAACTATCTATAACATTGATCCTATCAGATCACCGGGCCAACCGCACAGGGTTGCCATATCTTAATTAGGCATTCCAAACTGAATGGCTACCAGTGGGTTTTGACGGGTTATGATATGGCAAAATTATGGCAAACCCTGTAGGCCTGGTGATTTGACAAGGTCAATGAAATAGGTAGTTACATAGATTGATTATCCATATTTTTCAAAATAAACATAAGCTTATGCCTTCAAGTAAAAATGTATGCAATTATTATTTTTTAAATATCTAAAGGCTAAAAATTGGTTTTAAAATACATTTTTGCCAAACCGATTCAAATTAATAAATATGTGCCAGGCAATATGGCCGCTCGCAAACGACCAACTGTAAGCAATCTATATAACTATATATGTATCATTGGCCCTGTTAATGACAACATGACAACAGGGTTGCCATATCTAAACTGTCATTACCCACTGGTAGCCATTTGGACAGGTCGTTGGAATGCCTAATACCCCAAATACTCATTTTGTTCGGAATGCCTAATCTGATTTAATTTCTTAATAATATATAAATAATGGATAATTAATTTCTAAATAATGGTATTTAATCAACGAAACTATATATAGCGGCTACATAAACGATACAAAAGTCACTGCATTTGTAGGTACGCCCCTGTAAGTGAATTATTTGTTATTTTTCCGATCGCTCAATCCTAACCATTTTTTTTATCGTGCGTATCATTGCCAGGGACTTCAACACCATAAAATTCCACTTATTATTATCCGCCTGGTTAAATCTGAAAATTTATATTTTTTCCAGAACGATTTCTATAATTGAATCGAGTTCAAGATCAAGAATCAAGTTTAAATTTTAATCTGGAACTAGCAGAACTTGAACTTATCGACAAGTAAAAATGGCCGCCGTCATACCAGCTGTTACGAAAATTTCACCAAGAATCATCAGAATTTTGGGGTGTAACCCCGGAATTATGACTCTTCAGGGGACAAATACGTACATCGTTGGAACTGGGAAAAGGTAAGCTAATTTTATAACATACCACAGTTTTTTTTTTTTTATTTTTTCTATGTCAAGGTGACGTTTACTACGAGTAGTGGTTAGGAAATGGTTACTAGTCCGAATCACGGATTTGTAGTAATTTTATTTTATCAACAATTGCTGCGTTTGAGAATCCACATCGGATGCATCTGAGATGTAAAAAATCTTTGATCACGTGATTCAGTATACGTAAATGTAATGGGACAGATGTGTCCGATGTGGATAAAAAAAACGCTCGAGATGTAAAAAATGCATCCGATGTGGATTCTCAAACGCAGCAAATGTTCTACATTTATTTTTAGAAAAAGTAATACTATATAAAAGAATTGTGGTTAGGAATGCTTAAGTGCTATACAGAGTGTTTCAAATGTGATAAAATACTCCAGGTATTTTTTTTACGACTTTAATGACATTTTCACAGAAATAGTATAGAAAGGCAATTTCATATATTAAAAATGAACGAAGCTCATGCGCATAACGGTGTTGGCTCGGACAGGACCGGTGCAAGTTTTTTATTGATCAAACAAATGGTTCACATGATGTTTCAGGTTGGAAGTAATACATTTTTAGAGATGATTCTATAATAAAAAAGTTGAAAAAAATTCAAGTAAAGTAAATATGGTTCTGAAAAAGAAATATATGGCTTTAAATATGAATTAGTTAATTTTCGACAATCAATAGTGCTATAGTCACGAGATTATGCTTGTGTCCTGACATCTTATTTGATTTAAATCATTTGCTACAAGTAAATTTAATCTGGGGAGTGCAAAATGAGGGGCAGTTACGTTTCGCCCAGGAATATTCATTATTTTTTTACATTTTGTCAGCCAAGACTATGAGTCGTTACTTACAATTAGACAGAAAACCTTTCATCACTATAAATTATCCAAAGATGTCTGCATCTCTTGAGATTCAAAATTAAAAAATACTACATTTACTTGGTACTAGGTTACTTATTTATTTATTTTAATTTTAAACCCTTTTAAAAGGGTCTTTCGGTTCCATAATAAAGTTTAATTCCATAATATAGTCTAAACCAATTTTTGGATTGTTTTGGATCAATTTAATACAAAGATTTAAAGTTTTTAGTCAATGATTATAACATTTCTCATCAGCACATTGCAAACCTAATAAAAATAAACTTGTAAATTATTAATTTTATAGTTATCTCACTTATAATGATTTTTTTTTGTTTATATAACTCTTTTGATTTCTAATATTTTGGCCTTACAATACGAAGCGTTTTGTATCTAACACTTTTTAACATACTTCAAAATGGGAGGATATTCTCAATTCGTTAAAATATTTTTTTATGTATGTTGAGCAAAAATTCTTTACCACGTTGCCCGATTTCTATGATTCTCTTTTTGATAGAAGATGAATCGTTCCATATACATTTAGTCAAGATCTGAAGATGATGGGATCCATGAGAACATCATTAACATCTTTATTTTTAAAGTAGGTTTTTTTTTAAATTTCTTTAAACCGTACTGGTTCGCACGCGATAAGGAATGAATAAATGTAAATAATTGTTAGCCAAAAAGCGAAGAGGAAGTAACGATTAATATATCGAGTGACAGAAGAGTTTCTAAGGTCGTTAGATCGGGTTTATGTTTTAAAATGCCTTTAAACCTGTATTTGAAAGAATACCCAATGTCAACTCCGCCAGTGACGTCACAAATGTTAAGTAAAGGTTAAATTTAATAGGGTTAATTTTCAGTTTCTATATTTGAAAATATATCCGATGCCAACTCAGCCAGTGATGCCATAAATGTTAAGCAAAGGTACAATTTAATAGGGTTCATTTTAAAATTCTTTATTTTAAATTATACCCGACTAAAACACGGTCTCTGACGTCATGAGCGTTGTGTAAAGGTAAAATATCACAAACGGTCCTGTAAGGGCATCCTCATATAACCTTGAAACTCGGGATTTAAGTGGTATTGCCAGTTCAATATTGAATTTGTAGGTGAATCGCTTGTTAAACATTAATACTGTATTTGTATATATTTTTGGGAATGTAATTACACATAAATATTATTAGTTGATTATTTAAATGTTATTTTGTGGCGATATTCCGTAGATATAAATTGTTTAAATCATATAATTTAAAAATAAATTATTTTGAAATTCTGTTGTGTTAGGTATGTTTAATATACACTACAGGGACAAGTTATGCATACTGCGCATGCTTCTAGACACACTATTCTGCGTTGTCAGGCGCAGAGACGCGTTTTTATGCACATTAGGTTTCAATTTCTGCTTAAATGTTATATTTATATTGGTCTTCTATATTGTTTCTATGCATTTTCAATTTTAATCTATTATATACAATGTCAAACACAATGTGTAATAGATTGCGACGTGTTCTTAAAGCACGTCGTTAACAACAAATTGTATTCAAATACTGTTAACGACGTGCTCGAAGAGCACGTCGCAATCTATTATGCAATATGTCCCATATTATATAATAGATTGCGACAGAGCACATCTTTGACAGTAATATCTGAGACATATTGTATAATAGATTGCGACGTGCTCTTCGAGCACGTCGTTAACAGCAATATATGAATGCAATTTGTTGTTAACGACGTGCTCGAAGAGCTCGTCGCAATCTATTATACAATATGTCTCAGATATTGCTGTCAAAGATGTGCTTTCTCGCAATATATTATATAATATGGGACATATTATAAAATATGTCCCATATTATATAATAGATTGCGACAGAGCACATCTTTAACAGCAATATCTGGGACATATTGTATAATAGATTGCGACGTGCTCGAAGAGCACTTCGTTAACAGCAATATATAAATACAACTTCGCAATCTATTATATACAATGTCAAACACACTGTGTAATAAATTGCGACGTGTTCTTTAAGCACGTAGTTAACAACAAATTGTATTTAAATACTGTTAACGATGTGCTCGAAGAGTACGTTGCATTCTATTATATACAATGTCAAACACACTGTAATAAATAACATTAGGTTTCAATTTCTGCTTAAATGTTATATTTGTATTGGTCTTCTATATTATTTCTATCCTTTTTCAATACTAATCGCCATATTATTTTCAGTAAATTCACTGTAATACCTAACATTCACGATGATCATAAACTTGGTTTTATTATTATTTACTTTTAATGAATTAAAACAGCACCAATCATATATTTGCTTTAATGCGGCATTTATAGTAGTGGTTACTTTCTGCAAATTATTAGCAGAATAATACAGCAGAGTATCATCTGCAAAATATCATCAATATATAGAAGGAACAATAGTGTGTCCGATACGCTTCCCTGGGGTGCACCTAATTCATTTTTTGTTCCTTTCATAACATATTTGGCAATTGTAATGCATATTCAATTAATAATACCAAAACTTTTCAACTTTTTAATGATTAGACATCGATTTTTTGTTTCAAATGCCCTTTGTAGGTCTAAAAAAAGAACACCTGTATTTCACTTGTTAATATTCTGTTTCCAGTCTTTCAAAACATATTGTAGTACAGTATCATAGCTGTGTTTACCTCCGAAAGCCTGATTGATTACTATTAAACATATTATTGTCTTCCAGATATTGAATTAGTTAATTTTATCTACTACTTTCTACTGTACGTAACATATTAATAAAACGCAAGTTCACTGCCTATTTGAATTCTTAACCTTAGCTATTGATGTTATTAGATCGTCTGGAACTGTATTAGTTTCTAATTCTATTATATTTATCAATGAATTAACAGTACTTAATTTCATCTTGACTTCCTTTATTTAACATATCAAAAACAATTTCTTTTAAACTATCAGAACTAACAAGATAAAACTTTTTTTATCATTTTTTATAATTGTTCCTTTAACATATAATGTTTACTGATAAATGTCCTGCAGATAACAGTAAATATACTCTTTCCAGGAGAATTTTAATAGATACTGGTGATGCAGACGTTCCCCAATACATCAACCACCTCAAATCCGTTCTAAACTACGAAAAATTCGATTTGGCACATATTTTTATCACCCACTGGCACCACGACCACATCGGAGGACTAAGCGACATCCTCAACGAATTCAAGGAAAAAACAAGTAAGTACAAAGGCCGAATTATCTCACACCAAACGGATAAAGATATGTATTAATTAAAAATAATAATAACGTAAATGTTTTGGGTACTTGTAGAGATGTTTTCTTTTAGATATCATTATCGGTGTTTTCTAATATTATGACTTTGTTTGATTTTTGTACAGTTGTTATCAGTGCGGTTATTCATTTGAACTTTGACATTCATAGAATTGAAAACAAGGACAAACATTATGTCGCAAATAAGAGACATGCAGTATGGTAAATTCAGATTTTTGTAATATTTGCATCTTTATGAATGTTAAAAATTAATACATCAACCTATATAAAAGAGTTACTGTCATAACAATGAATACATTTTTTGTGACAGCGATATTTTGTAAAAAAAAAAACTCGCCAACGCCAAAAAGAAAGCAGTAGTTGCTCTAAACTTCCCTCAAACTGTATATTGACCAGCGAATAAATTGATTTACCATAATCAGTAATAGTTTCAATAAAATCTAAGTTAGCATCCCAAATTACAATGAAAAGAGACTAGAAATTTCCTTCCGTTCTTAACATGGTCCTTCGAGCCGGATTGATTAAGCAGCGTCCACACAGTATCCCCTCAAACAAGAAAGCTGATTCCAAATCATCTACACGTGAATCATAGTTAAGGTCAATGCAAAGCTCAAAACTATTATTGAATATTTAAGATCATCATTTTTAAAATCCCATAGCAAACCAAGTGTTTAATTTGGATCTTTTTCACTAAGTGAAATAGAATTGGAAATCAAATCAGAAGAAGGTGAAGTTTTATAATACCTTAACATCGTTTAAGACCCACTTTCTCAAATGAAATTCACTACCATGGAACGCCTGAAACAATTGTATGGCTGATTTTTTATTGTTTGCTCCAGTTACCATATCATCAACATAAAAATCATGTAAAGTACGTTTGATGCTGCAGGAAACATTCAATATTTTCTAATCTAAATTGTAATTGCTAAAAATGGTGCCAATTTTGTTCCAATCTATTATATACAATGTCAAACACACTGTGTAATAGATTGCGACGTGCTCTTCAAGCACGTCGTTAACAACAAATTCTATTCAAATACTATTAACGACGTGCTCGAAGAGCACGTCGCCATCTTTTATATACATTGTCAAACACACTGTGTAATAGATTGCGACGTGTTCTTTAAGCACGTCGTTAACAACAAATTCTATTCAAATACTGTTAACGACGTGCTCTTGGAGCACGTCGCAATCTATTATGTCCCATATTGTATAATAGATTGCAACAGAGCACATCTTTAACAGCAATATCTGGGACATATTGTATAATAGACGGTATTTAACTGTAACATTTTAATTTGAACACCTGGTATGTAGAAAATTGTTTTGAGTTATGTTGTATATCAAAATGTATATATTTAGGTTATCCTCTAAAGATTTACAGGGGTGATACAATAATTTGTAGGAAAAAGCCTGTAATAACTAGATAGGAAAGTCATATGTTTTTATTTCTACTTTTTCACCTATGACGTCACCTTAGGTATATCAAATCATCAATTTTTATTGGTGTTAACCTATTTAATAATGTTATTAACTTATTTTCCAGAACATTGTCAAATATGGAAATATCCCAGTTGCAAAGACGAAATAAATAAAAACGAACGCATAGAACTTCTGAAAAACGGACAAGAATTCGCCGTAGAGGGCGCCACTTTACGCGTACATCACACGCCCGGTCACACTGACGATCACGTGGTACTACATTTGCTCGAAGACAACGTTCTTTTCAGCGGCGATTGCATTTTGGGTGAAGGAACGGCCGTTTTTGAAGATTTGTATGATTACATGCATTCTTTGAACGAAATAGCGGAACTGAAGTCGGCTGTAATTCTGCCTGGACATGGAAATGTTATTCAAGTAAGTAAAATTGTAAAAGGACTCCGGAGAAAGCGTAATTTATGTAAGATAAACTTACTTTTGAGATATGGAACATTTTAAATTTTATATTACTGTAATATGGAACATTTTAGGTTTTATATTACTGTAATATGGAACATTTGAAGTTTTATAGTAGGTTAGGTTGAAAATGAATGGGATGATACTCATTTTCAACCTAACCTACTATAAAACTTCAAATGTTCCATATAACGACGTGCTCGAAGAGCACGTCGCAATCTATTACACAGTGTGTTTGAGATTGTATATAATATATTGAGACGTGCTCTTCGAGCACATCGTTAACAATATTTGAATACAATTTGTTGTTAACGACGTGTTCGATGAGCACGTCGCTATCTATTACACAGGATGATTCATAACTCTTGGAACATGGGCTAAGTGCAGGTCATTTTGACCAAAATATGGTGGTAATATCAAATATTACTATAATATGGAACATTTTAGGTTTTATAGTAGGTTAGGTTGAAAATGAGTATCATCCCACTCATTTTCAACCTAACCTACTATAAAACCTTCCACTGCGACCTATAATATGGGTCTATTGTGGCCCTGTCGGGAAAGATCGTCTATCAGGTTATCCACAAGAATGGTCCACAGTAGGGGTGAAAGTACGTCGCCTTGTGGACATCCTAAAAGTGACAGTCTCTCCCTGCAGTGATGAAGTGATGTTCCAGTTTGCTAGTATGCTTTTGATTCAATTACAAGTGAGTTTGTCGATTCCTCTTCTTTCAATAGAAGCGAACAAAGACTGAGGAAGGGCGTTGTTGAACGCGTCTTCTATATCTAGGAAGACGCCCCGTGATTTAGGGAATGGCCGATTTTGCCTACTAGATTGTGCAGGGCATGCTCTGTCGATTTGCCTGTTAGGTAGGCATATTAGGAGGAAGGGCCCCTTCTCTACTATTGTTGATAACACCGTGTTAAGAGCACGTCGCAATCTGTTATACATTGTTGACAAGGGGGGTAGCCATGTGTGAGTTGAGGTAATTTTAAGGTGAAGGGGGAGAAAAAGTCCTTTATATCTCACAAGGAAAAAACACATTTCCTTGTGAGATATAAAGGACTTTTTCTCCCCCTTCACCTTATAATGTTATACATTGTGTTCGACATTATATATAATAGATTGCGATGTGCTCTTCGAGCACGTCGTTAATACCAAATTGTATCCAGAAATTGTTGATAACGACGTGCTCGAAGAGCACGACGCAAATCTGTTATATACAATGTCTAATACAACAGATTGTGACGTGCTCTTCGAATACAATTTGGTATTAACGACGTGCTCGAAGAGCACGTCGCAATCTATTGTGTTCGACACTGTATATATTGAAGGAAAAAACACATTTCCTTGTGAGATATAAAGGACTTTTTTACCCCTTCACCTTATAATGTTATACATTGTGTTCGACATTATATATAATAGATTGCGATGTGCTCTTTGAGCACGTCGTTAATACCAAATTGTATCCAGAAATTGTTGATAACGACGTGCTCTTCGAGCACGACGCAAATCTGTTATATACAATGTCTAATACAATGTATAACAGATTGCGACGTGCTCTTCGAATACAATTTGGTATTAACGACGTGCTCGAAGAGCACGTCGCAATCTATTGTGTTCGACACTGTATATATTGAAGAGCACGTCGCAATCTATTACACAGGGTGATTCATAACTCTTGGGACATGGGCTAATTGCAGGTTATTTTGACCAAAATATGTCGGTAATATCAAATATTATGGAATAAGATACAGGACGTTAAATTTGATTTTTTTTTTCGTTTTTTCTTATAATGTCATACATAGACTACTCTTGCTCTAAGGTCCTTATTTTTACATTGTGTTTGAGATTGTATATAATAAATAGCGACGTGCTCTTCGAGCACGTTGTTAACAATATTTTAATACAATTTGTTGTAATCTATTGCACAGGGTGATTCATAACTCTTGGGACATGGGCTAAGTGCAGGTTATTTTAACCAAAATATTATGGAATAAGATACAGGGCGTTAAAATTGATTTTTTTTTCGTTTTTTTCTTATAATGTCATATATAGACTACTCTTGCTCCAGGCTCCTCATTTTTCGTCCAATATCTGCTTTGTTTCCCGATATTAAATTGTTAATTTGTTTCTACAGGACCCCATGGAAAAAATCAAATTTTACATCGCCCACAGGAAGCAGCGCGAAGAGCAAATCATTGAGTTCCTAAACTCGCATCGCAACGAAACCTTCAACGAAGCAGATCTAGTGAAAAATATCTATGAAGACCTGCCGCAAAATTTGTCGAAGGCAGCGCAAAACAACGTCGGTCATCATTTGATGAAGCTGTTAAGAGAGCAAAAAGTGATGAAGATAAACGATGGTTGGCAGGCCAAAAATGTGAATGAAGTGAAGAGTCGTTGAGTATTAATATTAACCAAACGAGAGTGGCGATAATATACTCGTTTTTGGGTAGTTTGGTGGATGATTCGGGATGTTTTTTTTGTTGTTGTGACAGTCTAGTCATAGAGTGTAATTGTAAAAGGGGGCACCAGGTGGTTGTAAGCTACTTATAAAGAAATTTTGGCTTCTGATTACATATATAATGTCATAAGATATTGTTGCAAATGATGCGAAAACCTCATTTATATCAATTTTAGTATTTTTTCATAATAATTATTAGAGATGGGACTTTTCATGAAAAGTAATCGACCTTGAGCATAGAAAATACCCAGTTAAATCTCCATTCTGGATGTTTTTTCAAAAACACTTTGAGAACAATATTTGTATTTTCGTTTGTAAAATATTTCAAACCTTTGGATTTTTTGGTAGCTTTTTCACGAGTTTATTAAAACATTATAAAAGTCAGTAAACATTTATCATTTCTTTTTTTTTTTAAATTAAATTTTGCGTTTGTTGGTAAGAACTTCAGACGAATTAGTTAATTTAATTTCGCGCATGTGCAATACACTTTTCCACTTTTGAAAAGTATGTAATTTTTCAGACTAGTCTATCGGACTTGTCCGTGGACTTTTCAAAGCTACCCATCACTAATAATTATTAGTATTGGGACTTTTAATAATCGATTATTTAAAATAATAATATAATCGATTGATCGAAACAATCAATTAACCGATATGATCGATTATTCAAATTATTCGAATAATAGAAAATAATCGATTTAACGAAAATAATCGATTAATCGAAAATTATTGATTAATCGACTAAAAAGCTTTAAAATCTCTTCGAAACACTTCAACGGGCAAATTTCGAGTGATGAATAATGCGAAAGTTAATAGAAGCCGATAATTCTTAGACTGATAATATTTTGCAAATTATTTGGATTTCAAATCTTTGTAGTTCAACAAAATTTCAAATTTTATGATATTTGTCGTCGTAATTTGTTTTGCGAGCATTTTGATGTCATTTGGAATGCGATGTATGTATTTTAATAACAATATCGATAATTATTTAGGGTTGTATAATTATCAATACAAAAATAATCGTTTATTTAAAATAATCGATTATTTTCGATTAATCGAAAATAATAACAATTTGTATTCAAATAATGTTGTTAACGACGTGCTCGAAGAGCACGTCGTAACTTATTATACAATGTATCCCGAAAAAATGTATACACATGAGAAAAATATCTATTATACAGTGTGTTCGATATTGTATATAATAGATTGCTCTTCGAGCACGTCGTTAACAACAAATTGTATTCAGATATTATTGTTAACGACGAGCTCGAAGCACACGTTGCAATCTATTATACAGTGTATCAGACATTGTATAATAGATTGCGACGTGCTCGCACATCGTTAATAACAAATTGTATTTAGATTGCTGTTAACGACGTGCTCGGAGAGCACATCGCATTCTATTATACAGTTATCGTTATCAATATTTAAATACAATTTGTTGTTAACGACGTGCTCGAAGAGCACGTTACAGTATAATATTATATAGTGTGCTCGACATTATATTAAAATATTGTTGTTAACGACGTGCTCAAAGAGCACGTCGCAATCTATTACACAGTAGAGATGGTACGTTTCATGAAAAGTAATTTTCGGACTAGTCCGACGGACATGTCCGCAAAAGTAGTGAAAAGTAATGAAAAGTAGTCGACCTTGAGCATAAAAGACACGCAATTAAATCTCCATCCTGGATGCTTTTTAAAACATTACAAAAGTCAGTACTTCTTTTTTTTTTCTTTATTTGGGATTAACTCTTCTGAATTATTTACCTAGCACCATTTGTAGATGTTTTTTAATTGTGGAACAAGCTGCGCTTTTACGCATATGTCTCTAAGACAACACTTCTAGAGTTCTGAAACAATTTTCAAATTATTATATTGCATTCTTTCAAGAATTTACACAAAAGCGAAGCACTAAAAGCATAAAGCCATTTCACTTTTCATGCAATTTTTAAGCATTAGTTCATATAACTTATCACTACTATGTTTGTTATTAGAGCATTCCAACAGAATATGTCGAATACTACCTATTTTGCCACAACTACAGTTTGGAGAGTCATAGTATTCGGTGGAGATGTTCTGGAGGAGCACAGTGGCCTAACCTAAGCCTATTTAATGTCGTAGCTGTCTTTCTGCTTACTTTGATCTCGTTAAACCATGACTTGTGGGGTAACTTTCCTCCTATACTGTTGTAATGCCTTCCTTTAATTTTACATAATTCTGTCCATTATTCTCTATTCTTTACCTTTATTAATCTACGATCCTGAAGTTAATATTATTTTTAGTCAGACTTTGTTTTGCTAAACTATCTGCTTCATTGTTCCCTAAAATATTTGTGTGACTATATCCATCCCAATTTGATATTTAAACCATTTGATTTAGCTTCCATCAATGATTCTCTGACACGTATTTCTGTATACTCTGACTGTCCATTTAAACCCATTCGAGCTATTTTTGTACTACCTATTTCTATTGTTTTTTTGACTGCTACTAGTATTGCCAGTACTTCTGCTGTATAGATGCTAGCCTCGTCCGCTATTTTTACACTGATTTTCGTCCCCTCATTTTCGCAGTAAACCCCAAAACCTGTTCTTTCGGATTGCTTGTCTTCAGATCCGTCTGTTCCGATTCTAGTTTATGTTCAATCCTATTTTTAATTAGATTCTATACGATTTTTAGGATACACGACTTGTTGAGCAATGAATCTGTAACTATTTAATTGTCGTGGATCTTTAAGTGGTTTTAGGAAGGGACATATTATTCGAGTGTTCCATTCCTTTGGTAGTTCCTTGACAGTTAAAAAATCATTAAACACCTTCATTAAATTGATTTTAATACCAAACGGTAATCCCCTTATCGAAGAATATACTATAGCATCCGCACCCGGCATTGTATCCCTTTTTCTTGCATTTAGCACCACATTAAGCTCATTGACTGTGTATTTATCCCATCCAGTTTCTTTTGACATTATGGTGTCCATTTCTATTGGAAATTCCGGCGGGGTGACTATCTGTAAGAAGTTATCTAAATTATTTCTAATGAATTCAGTTTTTCCTTTGGTGTTCTTGTTTCTTCCAAACCCTCTCACCACTTTCCATACATATGACAAGTTACTGTCTCTATTGAGTGAAGAACAAAATTCGATAAAACTATTCTTTTTTTTTTGTTTAAATATTTTTTTGGTTTGTGCTACCTTACGTTTTATGTTAATATATAATTGCTATTGCTACTGTCCCTTATATATGTTTAAATTGTTGCTTTTCTTTCCCCCAACATTTTCTCACAATCTCTATCCCACCATTTATTAATTGTCCTCTTTTTACTATTGTTTTCTTTTCCTTCAGGCTTATATTTTGTCGGAACAACAATGTTATAAGCCTATAATGTCCTCGTATTCCTTACTTTTAGTTTGAGAATCAATTTGTTGACATACTATAAAATATTCGTTCCAATTGATTTTTTTGGTATTGTATTTTTTCCCCTGAATTTCATTTATAAAATTATTGTATACGCTTTTGTACTGATATTAAATTTCATCATAATAGGCAAATGATCACTGTCCCCTTTATATAACGGATATATGAGTCCCCTAAATGCAAAACTCGGTATTTGCTAGTTACAAAATTTTTCAGGAAGAGCAAAAAACTGTCAGTAATTAAAATACATATGTATTCGTTTTAAATTTTGTTTTTAGTTAGCTCTAGTGATTTTGTTTCGAAATAACTATGCTCTTTAATCCGAAATCCCACAAAAAAAAAATACTTTTAAAATTAAAATACCGAGTTTTGCATTTATGTTTTAAAAATACCCAGTTTTGCAACTCACAATTGCAAATACCGATAAGTGCATGGTTGTCTTATTTTAAAACATTTATTTTCTTACAATTTTTTTTTAAAAAGATACAAAAATATAAATTAAAACATTTTTATTAGGTGTAATAAAATACATACCAGCAAAAAAATCTTCTTTAAATAAGCAAACAACAAATGAACAAATTAAAATGTCTACGTGCCCGTGCACTTACTTAATCACGTGACTATTAGACGCAACGCCATTGGCAGGTTACAATTACGTAGTTTTGTATTTGACAAGTGAAGGCAAATACAGAGTTTTGCATACAGTCTTCGTTTTCTAAAGCGTTTTTAATGCAGAAATAGGAAGTTTTGCATCTTATTTTAGAAGAAGAATGGTAGATTTTGAAACAAGGAATTGAATGGCGCCAAAACATTACTTTTAAAAATTTCGTTAAATACCGAGTTTTGCATTTAGGGTACTCATATATCCCATTCCCCCAATACCCCTAACCTAGTGATACAAAAAAATATGTCTGTGACACAAAAGTCAGTAAACATTTGTCATTTCTTCTTTTTTCAACTATATTTTGCCTTTATTTGTAAAAAATTCAGACGAATTAGTTAATTTAATTTCGCGCATGTACAATACACTTTTGACAAGTGTGTTTGGACTAGTCAACTTTTCAGACTAGTTCGTGGACTTTTCCAAGCGACCCATCACTATTACATGTTTGATATTGTATATAACAGATTGCCACGTGCTCTTCGAGCACGTCGCAATCTATTATACAGTGTGTTTGACATTGTATATAATAAATTGCGACGCTAAATATTTGAATATAATTTGTTGTTAACGACGTGCTCAAAGAGCACGTCGCAATCTATTATACAGTATGTTTGACATTGTATATAATAGATTGCGACGTGCTCTTCGAGCACGTCAACAGTATTTGAATACAGAGTAATTCATAAGTATTGGGACATAGACTAAGGACAGGTCATTTGGACCAAAATATGGCGATAGCACCAAATATACCTTAATAAAATATTACTGTGAAATAAGATACAGGGCATTAAAGTTGAATTTTGCATATCTTTGGACAAGAAAATACTATTTTATGTATTATTTCACATTTTCTTACAGGGGAAATTGTTAGCTTTTTGACGAAACTTTTTAAGAGTTTTTGATTAGAAAATATGATGTAAACATAATTTCTACGTAATATCGGTGAACAGTTCACAAGTCTAGGATGAGGATTTAAAGAAATATTAATTCATTTATGAAAAGTGTGCTTTGCAGTGTTAGATAATTGTGTTCAATACATATGTCATTTCTTGTCAATGAATTATTTTTGCTGTGAGATTATAGTCTATTATTATTAATTATTATTTAACGCCCTGTATCTTATTCCACAGTAATATTTTATTAAGGTATATTTGGCCATATTTTAGTCCAAATAACCTGCCCCTAGCCTATGTCCTAATAGTTATGAATCATCCTAATATAAGAATACATCGCTATCCAATACACCAACTATCTTTAATCGAAAATAATCGATTAATCTAAAATAATTGTTTAATTGATATTGTTCAAAAATAATCGATTATTAATTTTTCAAGAAAAATAAATCGATTATTTTGCCCAATTTTAATCATAACGTTTTTAAATAAATAATTTGTAACAAATATATCAAAATTAACGTAATTTTAGTACATAATCCATTTTTTTTATGAAACCTGTCACTTTTGTCAATTGTCAAATCCGAGGTTTAATTTTGATGTATTTGAAGAAATTACCGAGCGATTTCTATAAGAGAGACTGAGATATTAGGTTAAGCGATAAATTAAAAATGTTGTTAAGTTTCTTCTTTTTTTTTATTATTAAATCACCAATTATACAAACATTTTCGTAGCGCGCCAGAAAAGAAACTTGAGAATTTTCCGGGTTCATTTTCAATTTTCCAGACGACTTTCTTTCCTGGCCAAAGGAACTTAATTTTAACATTTCTTTTATATATAAAAATAACGTTAAATAAATAATAAGAAACAATTGTATTATAAAAATTAAATAAAGTTTTTGTCTAAAAAAAAAAAAATTAAATCGATCATCTTTTAATCATTTTCGATGGTGGCGGCATCATTTCCGAATCGTCGTTGAATCTGTATTTTTCTATGAATTCTAGGAGCATTTCTTTCGTGACTGGATTCTGGATGCTTTCACACACAGCTGTATGAAAAAAAAAAAAAATATTTATGTAAAAGAAAATTTTATTTTTTCTACTACCGTGCGTAAAGTACATACTTTTTTCACTAGTGCGTAAAGTAAAATATTTCAACTAGGTAGGTTTTTAATATTAGTAGATAATGTGTACGGTAGTAGAAAAAAATTGTATGCAACTCGTGTGTAAACTCCCTTTTTTGACGAATGTGAATGTTGACACACGAGCCTAAAGTTAAGTTAGGTTAACCTAACCTAACACGTCGTTACCAATATAGCACTTTGTTATTAACATCATGCTCAAAGAATATGTTGCAATTTATTATACAATGTCGGACACATTATATAATAAATTACAACGTGTTTTTCAAGCACTTTGTTAATAACAATATCTAAATACACTGTGTTGTTAACGACGTGCAGTCTATTATAAATGTCGGGTAAGCTGTATTGCGACGTGCTTTTTGAGCATGTCGTCAATAACAAAGTGCATATTGTTAACGACGTGCTCGAATAGCACGTCGCATTCTATTATATACAATGTCAAACACACTGTTTAATAGATAACGACGTGCTTGAAGAGTACGTTGCAATCTATTACACAGTGCGTTTGACATTGTATATAATAGATTGCGACGTGCTCTCTGAGCACGTCGTTAACAATATTTGAATGGAATTTGTTGTTAACGACGTGCGAGCACGTCGCATTCTATTATATACAATGTTAAACACACTGTGTAATAGATTGCAACGTACTATTCAAGCACGTCGTTATCTATTACACAGTGTGTTTGACATTGTATATAATAGATTGGGACGTGCTCTCTGAGCACGTCGTTAACAATATTTGAATGGAATTTGTTATTAACAACATGCTTAAAGAACATGTCGCAATTTATTATACAATGTCGGACACATTATATAATAAATTACAACGTACTTTTCAAGCACTTTGTTAATAACAATATCTAAATACACTGTGTTGTTAACGACGTGCAGTCTATTATATGTCGGGTAAGCTGTATTAAGACGTGCTTTCTGAGCATGTCGTTAATAACAAAGTGCTATATTGTTAACGACGTGTTCGAAGAACAGCAATATCTAAATATTGTTTTGTTATCGAGCACGTCGCAATTTATTATAATAGCTTATCAGACATTGTATTATAATTTGCGATGTGCTCTTCGAGTTAAAATGTATTTAGATATTGCTATTATACAGTGTATTCGACATAAAAAAAAGAATATTTATGTAAAAGAAAATTTAATTTTTTTACTACCGTGCGTACAGTACGTACTTTTTTCAGTATTGCGTAAAGTAGACTCCGTTTTACGAGAGAAGAACCCAGCTGAAGTTGCCACTGGCGTAGAACGAACATTTTTATGCCAAAAGCCATTTATTTGTTAGCGACGTTAGCGTTTGACATTTATGGTTCATTTTTTTTAAATTGTCTATTAAATATTTTGATTCTTGACTATTTTAAGATGTTTGTGTGTGTTGTGTTTTGTTTAATCTAAAACCATGCTTCCTAAAAAACTTGTTAGTTTAAAAGGAAAAATTATCCATAGATCATAAAAAAATGTCGCATCTTTTATGTAAATTGAAGCTGAAGACGGAATTAAAATTCCTTTACAAAATCATCGGTAAGTAGAACAAAAAATTATAATACCTATGTAATAATGTAATTTATTATTCCTAACCAGATCAGTCAGAATTTACAAATATTCTGTTTGTTCTTGGCTCTTTGTGGACTGTTAATAATAATTATTTGACCCATATTACATAACTTTATTTGGTTTAAATACATCAAAAAAATAGGTTAAACAATTTACATTTCGTATACATACAACGTGCTCCCAGAAAGAGTCTTTCATTCTGCCGGCTAACGGCTGGTAACCATTTTAGCCGCGCATTCGCACGGGAAATAGCGGCAATTTTAAAAAACAGTGGCTACTGGGCCGAGAGGCGTATTAACATTAAACATATTCTTTGACGAATTTATATACTTTAGTAATAGACTAGATATTATGCCTTTGGACAAAAAAAAAGATCGGTTGTTTCATTATGTTATTGTAGATTATAAATCGTGCCCTTATTTTGCAAATACCACCTAATTACATATTTTGTCAGAAACATACAAAGTTTGGATATACAATTTTATCTGTAAAAGAAATATTGCTAAATTTTGTCAGTAGTTTGTAGCATTGAGATTGTTATAAAGTCTTAAGAAAAGTGTCAAACACACTGTGTAATAGATTGCGACGTGCTCTTCGAGCACGTCGTTAACAACAAATTGTATTCAAATATTGTGTATAATACTTTCTAAAACACATTGTATCACGTCATTAACAACAAATTGTATTCATATATTGCTGTAAACGACGTGCTGCAATCTATTATACAATGTGTTTTAGAAAGTATTATACACATGATGTGCTCTGTCGCAATCTATTATATACAATGTCAAACACACTGTGTAATAGATTGCGATGTGTTCTTTAAGCACGTCGTTAACAACAAATTGTACTTAAATACTGTTAACGTCGTAATTTATTACACAGCGTGTTTGACATTATATATAATAGAATGTGACGTGCTCTTTGAGCACGTCGTTAACAACAAATTGTATGCAAATACTGTTAACGACGTGCTCGAAGAGCACGTCGCATTCTATTATATATACAATGTCAAACACACTATGTAATAGATTGCGACGTGCTCTTCAAGCACGTCGTTAACGACAAGTTATATGCAAATACTGTTAACGACGTGCTCAAAGAGCACGTCGCAATCTATTATACACTAGTGGAAAAAATTAGGAAATCAAAAAAATTTCGATTTTTTGCGATTTTTCGAGTGGCTGTATCTTTGATAAAAATGGTCGTACGTGAATGAAAAATAAAGCAATTTGAAGCTTGAAGTGTCTAGTTTATAGATCTTGCGATAAAAAAAATTTCCAACCAACAATTAGCACAATATCCTGATGAATATCATGGATAGAAAAAACGCGATCCTTCAATTTCTTCAAAAATTTACTCGCATGAAATAATGAAACGGCTTGATGAACCAGGTTGAAATTTTGTAGGGCTTTCGGAGGAACAATGGCCTGTAAGATGCACACCCAACATTATTCATTTTCCCAATATTCTCAATATGGCACGTGAGTTTCTAAAAAAATCTCAAAAAGTGCTGTTTTCCGAAATCCTGCTAGGAATAAAAAAAAAACTCGTGAAAAAACATGCCAGAACCTTGTAGAGAATGAATCGAAGTTTCCGAAACCCCCCTTCCATTTTCTGGATGACTCTGCGGATTTTTCACGGGAAGCAAAAGAAGTTTGTGATATTATTATTTGTCAAGCAAAAGAATGATTCAGCTTCACAGGCCACCTAGTCGCAGCCAGTCTGTTCTTTCCAGAAGAATATGGCCAATATAGTACCTGTTTTCCTAAAGAAAAATTTAAAGAGAATAAAAAATTACCCATTTTTCATCGAGCAAAAACTCCGTACAGAATTAACCGTCATTTATGATACAGAAGAACTTAAATCAGTTTCGGGACCGGGACTCCTTGTGCTTTATGACTTTATCTCTCAAAATATCGAGTTAAGTGAAACTTTTAGTGAAACTCTAAAACTCTTATAATTACCATTCCTATGGCTTCTGCTGAAGCAGAACGGTGCTTTTCAACCCTTAAACGAATTAAAACATTTTTAAGAAATACCATGTGCTAAGAAAGACTTTCTGCAATGGCAATGCTTTCTAAAGAAAAAGGGATCTTATTGAAAGCATACCAGATTTCAATCAGAGCGTTATTGATAAGTTTGCTACTGCTAAAGATCGTCGTATGGATTTTCTCTATAAATAAATCCATTATTATTAGATGATTTAATTTACATGTTCATTTTATATAATATGTATTACCTTATTATTAGTTAGTTACCTATTTTTGTATGTTAATTTTTTTCAATTTTTCTATCCAATTAAACGAAAGAATTATCTAAGGAAACCCCCATTTTAGCGAGTTTTTTTTTTACTTATGTAATTTTCTACTTTTCCTCTAAGGTATTTGACCTTGAAATGTGCAAAAATTTTCGCCTGCGGCTCTACTTTTTTAAGGTTATGCACCCCCCCAAAGTATTAAAGCACGAGCCGCAACTGATTGAAGCTAACTGAACCACCTATCCATGTCACGTCATTTAAACCAAGTTATATGACTATTACAATGGAGCTGTATTTTTCTCAGTGTACATTTGTGGATGTAGATAACTTCACACCCGTGTGTTTCTATATTAGTAATCGGAACATTGTCAAATCATTCAAATTATACTTTGAACATGTTATAAGCTTCTAAATTATGTATTATTAACTTATTAAAATATATTTTTACACATTCATTTGATATGAAGAAATTCATACACACTATTAATATAAAAGTATGATGTTTAAATTAAATATTATGTAAAACTTTTGTAAAATTTGTTTAAAATAACCGTTTTTTTTATTATTATCATACTAATATTAGATATTTATAGGTGAAAAGTGATTTTTGCATTACCATAGCGAATTGCGCCATCTAACTTTGTCATAAAACTTTTTTTTGAATCTATAGGAAAAATAGTTTCTGAGATACAGCCGCTAAAAGTTTTTAATCAGATATATTTTTTTAAATATCAATATTTTCCCCTCTTAACGACACGCCATTGATCTACATTAAAATTATTTATTCCTATTTCTCTCTTTTCCAAAACTGCAAAAATATTTACATATAAAAGTATTAAAATTGTAACTCTAAACGTACCACTAAAATTTTAAATTAGTTCCTCTTATCTCAAGGAAGATATTATAGACCTTTAATTAAACAAAAAATAAATTAATAGTGATCCTGAAAAGAGGAAACGTTGCAAATCTATCTATCAGTGTATCAAATAAGATAAAATTTAAAATAATTACTAATAGAAAAAAATCGAAATATTTATTACAAAAATATATATCTATCATTCATTTCTCCAATT